CTCTTTCCGAACTTCAAACCCATCAATCACAAGTTCATTTTTCTCTTTTCTTCAGCAAAAAAATCCATATGGGGTTTCCAGTCACTGATAAATATAGCGGTTGATCTTTCTCTAATCAGACAAGTTAATTTTAACAATTCCCTCAGTGCAAAATCATTTCATCAACAGAAGGTCTGGCTGAAGAACAGATCAACCCAACTCTCTCCTTTGCCTCATTGTTTTCTTTTAGAAGATGGATGGATGGATCACAATAGCAGTAGCGCTTAGACTTATATACTGCTTCACATGGCTTTACAGCCCTCTCTAAGCGGTTTACAGAGTCAGACTTTTGCCCCCCAAAATCTGGGTCCTCATTTTACTAACCTTGGAAGGACAGAAAGCTGGGTCAACCTTGAGCCCTGTCAAGACTGAACTCCTGGCAATAGGATATTATTTTTTTTAATAAGTTTTTATTGAGTACTAAGGAAAAAAAAGGATTAAAAACATTGAACATGGTACATCGTCTTTGACTGACATCTCAGTCCATATTGTACATTAATTACATATAATATATCTATATACAAACCATACATTTCTGGTCTCTGTCTTATCTCTTTATTTATGACCTCCATTTTTTTCCCCTCCATCTATAAAATTTATTCCATATTCGATAAAATTCTGTTTCTTCCTGATTTTTTAATCTTTCAGTTATCCTATCTAGTTCTGCGCAATACATAATTTTCTTTATTAGGACTCCCTCACTCGGTACTTCCATTGCTTTCCACTTTTGAGCCAATAGTATCCTTGCCGCCGTAACCACGTGAATAATTAAATATGTGTCCTCTTTATTTACATTTGTCTCTGGCATTCCTAATAGTAATGCCTCAGGTTTGTATAGAATGTTTTCTGGCAATAGGATATTAGATAGACAGAAAGATGGACGGACGGACAGACAGACAGACAGACAGACAGATCACAATAGCAATGGCGCTTAGACTTATATACCACTTCACAGTGCTTTACAGCCCTTTCTAAGCAGTTTACAGACAGCCTGTTGCCCCCAACAATCTGGGTCCTCATTTTACCAACCTTGTTAAAATGCCAGTCTGTTCACTCTCCTTCCTCCCCCCCCCCACCCGCTCCTTTAGTTGGAAATTCTACTACATTATCCCTGAGAAGGCTGCAATTTGGTTCATGTACTTCTCACGGAGGTGGGATCTTGAGCTCTCTGGATGCCCATGCAGGATGAAGAGAAACCATCTGGGTCAGGCAGGTGGACTTGTTTCCCAGCCTCGCCCTGATTGGTAGATCAACTGTCTCTTTAGCAGGAACTCTCAGTCTGCCAGGAAGAAAGGCGGAGCATTTGATTCCCACATGGAGGGCTGTATGTCTTTATCAAAGCTATTCAGAGGCCTGAGAGGCAGGATTTAATTACGTTTTCCCCTCCCTTCTTTTCCCTCACTGCTTCCCATGTGAAAGCCATTTTCTCTCTCCCTTTTGGTCAATTAATATCCATAGCTGAGCAAATGGGGAATATGTAGAGAAGCTCCAGATATTCAAACAGCTCTGGAGATTTGAACAGAAGTGCTTGTCTGCCTCTAATGAAAAATGTGGTTTGACCTAAACATTTAAATACAGTCATGAGTATTTTTCAGTATGAATCCTTCCTAGAGAGTGCAGCTTTCCTTTCCCTTCTACGGGGATGTCTTTTTTTTATGGGCAAACTGTTCTGCCGAGACCTTGGTGCTCTCTGAGCTTGGCAGTTTCCTTGCAGACATTTTGTTTTTACAAGATAGCAGTTGTTTAACACCAGACAAACCACTCAACAAAAAACAATATCCTAATGAAGGAACTGCAGAGGAGAAAACCTCATCCCCACCAAGCCTGGCAGGGCGAGCTATATTGCACGTAAACAGAGAGCAAATTCCACTTGCCCTGATGAGGTTACCTAGCTGGGTAACAAAATGTCTGCAAGCAAACAGCCAAGCTCAGAGAGCATCAAGGACTCCACAGGTCAACGATGAGCTACAAAGGTTTGCCTCTGTTGCGTACCTGTGTGTTTGTGTGAAAGATGACAGGTAGGCATCTAGAATGGATGATAGCCAATAGTTCTACTCTCTTCTTCTTCTTCTTCTTCTTCTTCTTCTTCTTCTTCTTCTTCTTCTTCTTCTTCTTCTTCTTCTTCTTCTTCTTCTTCTTCCTCCTCCTCCTCCTCCTCCTCCTCCTCCTCCTCCTCCTCCTCCTTTTAAAAAAACTATGTAAGGCTACTCAAGTGTTCTAATATGGAACTTTCCCATCTGCCTGCTTTCTTCCACCCGCTTTTCTTTCAAAAATATTTTGGTTTGCTTTCATTGACTTCTGCAACTCTTGACGAGATGGGTCCTGATAGATTCTCTTCCCTTTTCTGAGACAAATATATTCAATAAAAACAATACAAATGTCAGATAGCATCCTCTTTGCCTGCAATTAGACACGATCTAAGGGAAGGAATTTTTTTTCCCTTGTACTGTGCTGGTAGCTGTGAATGAAATAGCTGCCTTTTAAAAACTGGTTTTACATTTCGAGAAGGAAAGGAAGAAGGGAGAAGGAAGAGAGGGAGAGAGAAATGGAGGAAGGAAAGAGGAAGGAAGGGAAGGAGGGGAAATGAAGAATGGGAGGGAGGAAGAAATGAAGGAAGGAAAGAAAGAAGAGAGGGAGGGAGGAAGGGAAAGAGGGAAGGAAGGAAGAAGGAAGGAAGAGAAAGGAAGGAAGGAGGGAAGGAGGAAGAGGAAAGGTAGAAAGGCAGGAAGGGAAGGAGGGAGGGAGATGGAAGAGAGGGAGGGAGAAATGGAGGAAGGAAAGAGGAAGGAAGGGAAGAAGGGGAAATGAAGAATGGGAGGGAGGAAGCAATGAAGGAAAGAAGAAAGGGAGGAAGGAAGGGAAGGGGAAATGAAGAATGGGAGGGAGGAAGAAATGAAGGAAGGAAAGAAAGAAGAAAGGGAGGGAGGAAGGGAGAGAGGGAAGGAAGGAAGGAAGGAGGGAAGGAGGAAGAGGAAAGGTAGAAAGGCAGGAAGGGAAGGAGGGAGGGAGATGGAAGAGAGGGAGAGAGAAATGGAGGAAGAGGAAGGAAGGGAAGAAGGGGAAATGAAGAATGGGAGGGAGGAAGCAGTGAAGGAAAGAAGGAAAGAAGAAAGGGAGGAAGGAAGGGAAGGAGAGAAGAAAGGGAGGGAAAGATGGGGAAGAAGGAAGAAAGGAAGGAGGGAGGGAGGGAGAGGAAAGTTAGAAAGGCAGGAAGGGAAGGAGGGAGGGAGATGGAAGGAAGGAAGGAAGGAAGGAAGAAAAGAAGGCGAGAAGGAAGAGGAAGGGAGGGAGGGAGGGACCCTGAGTTAAGGGGTGTGTAGTTACCAGAAACCCCAAGAAACGACGATTCCCTAACCCCATTCCCCCCCTTTCCCTGCTGGGAGGGAAGAAGGACGCCCAACTTCAGCTCGGGAAGAGCGACTGGGAAGCACGGGGGGGGGGGGAAACAGGTGCCTCCGGCGGGGAAAGGTGGGGACGGAGCCGCCGGCACTGGCGTCGTAGGGGCTGAGCCAGCCCGGCCCGTCTCTCCCGTGCCCGGCCGGCACCCTTTGCCCACGCGGAGGCCTCGTGGACAGCTGCCCGCGGGGCCGGAGGGGGCGGCGAGGGGCGCGCAGCGCCTTCCCCGCGCTCGGCCCGCCCTCCACCCCGAAGCTGCGAAGCCCGAGCGCAAAAGCAGCCGAGCCTGCTCGCCTGCCTGCCTCCCCCCCCCTCACCCTCCGGCTCCCCCCCAACCCCTCCCCACGCCTCGTCCGCCCCGTGGATCCGCGCCGCTCCAGCCCCGGCTGCGCCAAGGGAGACGCGCCGCTCCTCGCCTCGCGGTGGGCGGATGGGCACGTTTGGGGACCCCCAAGAGACTCATGGAAGAAGACGCCGCGGGACGGCCTTCCCGGACCCCCGCCCGCGCCGCCCCCGCCGCCGCCTTCCCTCCCGTGGCCTCGGCGCCTGGATTACGGTGAAAGGGAGGAAGAGGATGGTGCGCGCCCTCCTTGCTTTGCCTCCCTCCGCGCGAGGGGAGCCGAGCCCGGGGACCATCCGGACCAGGTAGAAGCCCGAGTGTCGCTCGCCTAGGTGAGTCGGGGGCGAGGGGGGGGGGAGTCTGGCGCCCTTACCTGGGCTGGAACCTCTGTAGGGGTCTGCGTGGTCCTCGGAGATGCGGGAGACTGGGGGGGGGGGCGCCCCAGATGCTGCGGGCTGGGCACGGATGGGCGTCTCTTGTTTACGGGGCTCAGGCGTGCGAGGAATTAATGGGGTTCAGGCGTGCGAGGGCTGGTTGGGGTATCCTTCAGACGCAGCGGGGGGGGGGGGGTCTTCTAAGGGAGGGGAAGAAAGGAGCGTGCAAGCGGTCGTGGTCGTGGACGAGCAACGGACTGAGATCTCCGTGGCGCCCAAGAGCGGATCCCCAGTCTCATCCCTGCCCACCTGAACCCCAAATTCACATCTCTCCTACGTCCCTCGCTCCTTCCCACTCCCCTCGGTCTGTGTATACCCAGGGAATTAAGGGCGGGGGGGACCCCCCCCCGAAAATAGACGAAGAGACAAGCATTTCTCAAGCTTACAGGCGCCTCTATGTACCGTCTTGGTTTCAGGCAATTTACTCGCAATTTACTCGCGAGGAACACTGTGGCGGCTGTAAAAACTGAAGGCTGCAATGTCTGTGGAGACTCTCAGTCCTCCAGGTCATAGTTATCCCAAAGGTGCTTTTTTCACGAGGCAACCGGACTTTCCGTTTTTTTTTTTTTCCTTCGAAGACGTTTCGCTTCTCATCCAAGAAGCTTCTTCAGCTCTGCTGCAATCTGACACATTTCCTCCGAGGTTAATGAGATTTACTTTGAGACAGGTGTACATGTCTGCTCTGGAGGATCTTGGAGCAAAAGCCCTGAAACCCTCCGCCCCCCCCCCCGCCCCCAGCAAAATGAGCAAAGCAACTGTTTCTGACAGTTATTCTATAAGTTCGAGAGATGCCAGGACGGCCATCCTGCAAATTGTGTAGAAGCCTTTGGAAAGCCTACTTGCCGTGAAAGGCTGATTAAGGTAAGGAAGGAGGCTGGTTGCGTTTCTGATCTTTGCCAGCCTCCCAAAGACTTCTGCAAATTTGCTTCCTTGTTCAATGGTGTGTTTTGATTGCTTCTTGTCTGATTTGATCCCTGCTTCCAAGATTCAGAATCACTTCAGACAATCTTGATGGGTGTTACCCTCCTTCCCAGAAATATCAATTCACGTATCTCACCTCAGAGAGAAGTATCACCTCTCTCTCTCTCTTCCTCTCTCCCCCTCTCCCTTTCCTCCCCCCCCTCTCTCTCCCCTCTCTCTCCCTCTCCCTCCCTCCCTCCCTCTCTCCCTCTCCCCCTCTCCCTCTTCTTCCCCCCCTCTCTCTCCCCTCTCTCTTCCTCTCCCTCTCTCTCCCTCTCTCCCCCTCTCCCCCTCTCCCTCTTCTTCCCTCTCTCTCCCCTCTCCCTCTCCCTCCCCCTCCTTCTCTCTCCCTCTCTCCCCCTCTCCCTCTCCTTCCCCCTCTCTCTCCTCCTCTCCCTTTCTCTCTCCATCTCCCTCCCTCCCTCCCTCTCTCCCTCTCTCCCCCTCTCCCTCTTCTTCCCTCTCTCTTTCTCCCCTCTCTCTTCCTCTCCCTCCCTCGCTCCCTCCCTCTCTCTCCCTCTCTCCCCCTCTCCCTCTTCTTCCCTCTCTCTTTCTCCCCTCTCTCTCCTCCCTCCCTCGCTCCCTCCCTCTCCTCCCTCCTCTCCCTCTCCCTCTCTCTCCTCTCTCCCTCTCCTCCCTCCTCTCCCTCTCCTCTCTCTCCCTCTCTCTCTCCCCTCTCCCTCTCTCTCCCTCTTCCCTTTCTCTCTCCCTCTCTCCCCCTCTCCCTTTCCTTCCCCCCTCTCTCTCCCCTCTCTCCTTCTCCCTCCCTCCCTCTCTCTCCCTGTCCCCCCTCTCCTCTCCTTCCCTCTCTCTCTCCCCCTCTCCCTCCCTCCCTCCCTCCCTCTCTCTCCCTGTCTCCCCCTCTCCTCTCCTTCCTCTCTCTCTCTCTCCCTCTCCCTCTCTCTCTCCCTCTCCCTCCCTCCCTCTCTCTCCCTCTCTCCCCCTCTCCCCCGCCTCTCTCCCATGTATGCATCCATCCATCCATCCATCTACATATCTATCATTTATCCATCCCTCTCTCTCTATCCTGGCTATCCTGGGCAGTCATGGACCAAAGCTGCACTTGGGAGGATGAGAAAGCCAAGTGGCTCAGGAGGCCTTGTCTTGGAACCTGAATGGATGCCGGTTCATCTAGATTTTATGACTGGAACTCTTCTGCCTTGGGAGGAAGAAGCAGGTCTTAACTGGAAGTCCCTCCATTTAATTGTAGAGGGCTTGATTTCTGTTGAGTGCAGGATGGCTTTGATCACAGGTCTCTTGTGCACGTTTTTAATTCTTGACAGTTTTTTTCATTGTTTACATCAAGTACGAGAAGATGGATACATTCTTTGGAGAAAGGGATGGGGAAAAAGAAGTTTCTCTCTCTCTCTCTGTCTCTGTCTCTCTCTCTCTCTCTCTCTCCCTCCTTTTTTCCTTTCTCTTTCTCTCCCTCTTTCTCTCCCCTGTCCCTCTCTCCCTCTCCTTTTCTCCTTCTTTCTCTCTCTCCCCCCTTCTCTCCCCTGTCTCTCTCCCTCTCCTTTTCTCTCTCTCTTTCTTTCCCACTTCTCTCCCCTCTCCCTTTCTCTCTCTCTCTTTCTCTCTCTTCTTTTCTCTCTCTCCCTCCCTTTCTCTCTCCCTCCCTTTCTCTCTCCCTTTCTCCCTCTCCTTTTCTCTCCCTCCCTCCCTCCCTCCCTCCCTCCCTCCCTCTCCTTTTCTCTCTCACTCCCTCTTTTCTTTTTTTCCTCTCTCTCTCCCTCTTTTTCTCTCTCTCTCTCCCTCCCTCCTTGAGAACAATTGAGAAGTCACAGTGTGGGTGTGGGTATGTGTGTGAGTGTTTCTCATCATTTGTGCTGCTTTTTTATTGAGGGACCATATAGGTGCGTGAGAGACGGAAATACATGCACACACACACACACACACACACACACACACACACAAACTCAAATTGTGATGCCCCCAGGAAGCCTTTAATGCGTTCCACTGGACATATTCCATGATGCTCAGTGGATATATATATATATATTCTCCTCTCTACCTAAGTCCTTTTTTTTTTTTTTTTTTTAGCTCAGCTATGTGCCAGATCTGGCATTTTAAAATGCACACACATACACACACCACCTTGGCGCTGCTCACCTCTCTTTGATAGGAATGTGCTCAGAATTTTACTGTGACTCCCTGGAGGCTGGCCAGTTTCTGAGCAGCTGCACAGTTGGCTCCTGTATAGCCCTGTGGACCTTTCCAGAGGTGGCAAGCACTCCTTCCCGGACCTCTGTGCATTCTCAGGATCATAACACATCCCCTTGCTTACCAGATAGGTCTGGGATGCATTTTTTTTTCCTTGTCTTTGATTAGATCCTCTCTGCCTGTTTCCACTGTGGCCACCAAATTACTTTTGCTTAAGTGCCTCTGCTGGCCAGAGCAGCGGGTAGCCAAATAAAACACTCCGTCAGGTGAAACTTAAATATAACTTGTTTCTAGACATAACCGAGCAGCTGAGATGGGATGCTAAGCTTTGCTCTCACTCAGCAAGCTTTAATGTAGCAAGACTGAGATTTCCCCCCCCCCAGATTTCCTGAGAGCAAATCCTACAGGTTTCCTGCCTCTTTCTTTTCTCTCCCCCCCCCCCTTTCTCGCCTCATTCTTAAGAGGAAAAAGCTGTATAAATTCAAAGTATTCTTCTTGATGATCTCTAGTTGCACCTATGAGGAAGCTAATGTGTCTTCCATAGCATTCCACACAAAAGGGACTTATGAGACACCTCCTTCCTTTTGCTGTAAGAAACACTCAACAAGGGTTTCGAAATTTAGCTTTTTGTTATCCGAACAAAACAGGATTCAGTAAGTGAGCAAGGCAAGCTTGTCTGTTCTCCCTGTGAGTTCTCTCGAGTTGAAAGCTATGAATCCGTTAAGTAGAAGCAGGCTGGGCCTTATTCTTCTAACTCATCCAGTGAACATTTTAAAACACCTCTATATATGGAGTGAAAAGAGTGTCTGTTGACCCAAATATGAGCACTAGTTGTTCTTTAGATTATCATTATCATTCCCCCCCCCCTTGGCGTGTTTTATTAGCCTCCTTCCCATCCATCAGGAAATGCATAAGTAAGTTTGGATTATGAGCCTCCCCATCTGTGTGGCATGCACATATGTGCTGAGGTGCATGCATGGACACATAAGCTTCGTGGTGATTGGTTTTTTGGGGGGAGCATGGAGAAGGCGCACCCTGGATGATCGTAAGGAATCTTGCAATTGTGATGCAATCAGAGGCATAAGCTGAATATTGAGAGAATTCCTGGCCGTTTGTTCCTGGAAATTCTATGAGGCAACTGTGTTTAATCAAAACGACTTTGGACTGTTAAAGTGAGATGCTGACCGTAAAATGGACAAACTCCCCTTCCTAGATCAGACTAGGTTTTTATTTTTATATCTTTGAGTTGTGATGGGTTTGAAAGACATTCCGAATGCTATTGGTTTGGCGAGGAAGATAAAAGATTAAGTCTTGCTGTTTTAGTGAGCTTTCTCTCTTACATTGGGCAAAAGCAGCAAAACCTTTAGCACCAATAAAGGAGAATATTTGTAGCTCGGGGCTGAAGTGAGGGGTCCTTGGTGCTCTCTGAGCTGGCTGGTTTCCTTCCAGATGTTTCATTACCCAAACCTTATTCCCTTCTAACACTGATGATGTTACCTTGTTTAGGTAGTGAAACATCTGCAAGAAAAAAACCAAGCGAACATCAAGGACCCCACAGTTGTCGTCGTCGTCGTCGTCCTCCTCCTCCTCCCCTCTGCAAACCCCTCTCCCTTCTAGCACTGATAATGTTACCTAGTTTGGGTAACAAAATGTCTGCAAAAAGCAATCAAGACCAGAGAGCACCGAGGACCCCTAAAAGCTTTTAGCTCCCTTTAGCAAGGGTGTCCATGCATGCAGTTTTCTAACAATTAATCATACTGTCCTCATTGCATTTAAAAAAAAAAATCCTAAAGGCTTAATTTACTTTAGAGGTGGCAGTTTACTTCTTTTTGATCTGCTTTTTTTTTTCTACTAGCTTGCCAAGCCAAATTAGGCTTGTGGAAAATAAAGGAAGAATCACGATATCCCTTCAATTTCTGAATTACTAATAGAGATTTTTGGGGAAACTACCAGGGAAACATGACAGGGATTCAAGAATAGCCAACCAATCTCCCCCTTTTCCAGTTCAAAGGAAGTTTGGGTATTGTTTTAGTAATTTGCATATCTAGTCCCTTTTAACTAACTCCTGGCTTTCTCATTTGAGTCCATCCAGTTCATGCTCACATCTGACTGATTGCCCGTAACTTTACACACTGTTCCTCAATCAACATCACATCTGAGACTTCCCAAATGATAGTTCTGCATTAGCAGCTGCCAATGAATTTGCTGTATCCTTTTCTTACAGTGCCCAATTTTACATATTTGCAGTGGATTCTTACGGAGACAGCAAAGTTGTCTAAAAATAGCAATGCACAAACACTTATTCTTTGGGAATAGCATGTTTCATCCATGCAGAAATGGCATAAAAATGGCCCTGAGATTATCAAACTGTTTGGTGCTTTCCAGAAGCCTTGAGTTTAAACTTCCAGAATTTTTGCCGTTTTGTCCCACAATAGACTGAATCTGTTTTTGAGTGGGAGACATTTTTCATTTCCATTCTTGAAGCTCACAAAATTTAACTAGCCTTGCTTGAGCTACTTAAAAAAGTCAATTCCCTCTTCTCTTTGGAGAACAAGTCAATTCCCTCTTTTCTTTGGAGAACAAGTCAATTCCCTCTTCTCTTTGGAGAACAAGTCAATTCCCTCTTTTCTTTGGAGAAAAAAGTCAATTCCCTATTCTCTTTGGAGAAAGTCAATTCCTTCTTTGGAGAACAAGTCAATTCCCTCTTTTCTTTGGAGAACAAGTCAATTCCCTATTCT